ACGTGACAGCCAGTGACATCCTTTTTCAAACTGGTATTTACATCAGTCCCTTCCTTAAAATTCTCCCCATTGCTCTCAGGTTACGTAAAACTTCCTTAACAAGACCTACAAGGTCCTGTATGATCTGGAAACTTCATGCTTCTGCAGGGTCTTGCCTTTCTTCCCCTGAAAACCCAATGGACTTTCTTCAGTTTACCCTTAATGTGCAAGTCCCTTCCTTAATCTTATAATTTCATAATAATACTTCAAAGATCAGCTTAAAATCTCATTTCATTCAGTAACCATATTTTTTCTTCTGGATTGCTTTTTTCAAAATCTGACTTCTTGATTGACTCTTCATCTTAATCATCTTTATATCTTCAGATCCTAGGACAATTCCTAAGCACCCACCCAATAAAATGCTTTAAATGAATAAACCCCAGGAATGAGTACAAATAAAATACATACTTTTTCAGATACATGTTATTTTTTCCAGAAAAATAGGGATAATAATACTATTCATGTTACAGTTGTGTTTGTATGACATAAAGTGGCCATATAAAGACTTAGCATATCAGTACTAATATTCAATAAATATGAACTACTATTATGTATAGTAAAAATAATCATCTTTAAATATCCATACGATTATTTTAGAGGTAATGCCATTGCTCAAATATTTTGCCATAGGAGAAGACGTAGTCACCAAGAAAACTTGGGACAGAACTTGGGGAATGTACATCTGCTCTGCTCATATTTTGAGAGACATGTAGAGAAAAAAGGAATTAATGAAATAAATACGTAAAAGCACATAAAAGACAGGTGAATTTCATCTCATGAACTATTGAATTCCCTTTGTAGTGACAAATCTTCTTTCTCTGATAATCAGATTGAATACTTAACATTAATAGAGGCCTTTGAATCCAAATCTGCTTAAGCAAGAAATCAAATTTCTTAAGATTTTTAAATCAAAATAACGGATAATGATAAGGAAATTACAGTGATTTTCCTTCTGTGGCCAAGGAAGGCTTCTCGGAGGATATTCAGCTTCAGCTAAATCAGAAGGGATGAGGACAATCTGTACAGAATAAAATTGTGGGGGCGAGAGGGACGTTAGATGATGGAACAGCATAAACAAGGGCTTTAGGTACAAGATTCACTTTGAGAACAGAGTAGACCAGCTCCATGGGTACCATTAAGGGCAAGTAGGAGATCAGTGTGAAGAAACACATTGAAGTCCGACTATGAGGAAGCTCAAATGCAGAGTAAGATGCTTAAATTTTATGTTATAGAAAATAATGGGTTTTCAGCTGAATATTCGCACCATGAAAGTGATATTTTGGTGAAACTGATATAGTAAGGCTGTCCACGTGTTCAGAAGGGAAAGACATTGTAAGAAGAGGTATAAGATTAGCGGTAAGTTCCTGAGTTCAGGGAAGAGATTAGGTTACAAAAGCCTAAACTGCAGAGATAGGAGTGAGAATGAATAAGACCATTGTGAAATTACAAAATAAAAAGTGAACGAGGAAAAATATATATATTTGTTATATTTTCTCTCATAAAAGATCAGAGAAAAGAGTGGCACCAGAGGCAATTCCTATGTTTTAAATTTGAGCAACTTGGAGAAAAATAATGACACACAAACATGTGGGTGTGATGTTTTGTCACTGACATTAAGCTGAATTGCCAAGGCTCAGCTTCATAAGACTACTGATTATCTCCTGGGAACAGTATATCTGCTTATCACTCAGCTATCAATAGCTAATGTTGGCAGTTTCTTGACAGGCAAACAGGCAAGTCAGGAAAATAAGAGGGATCCGTCCGAAGTACAAGCTTATTGCATTTCAATAAAGAATATTAATCATCAATATTATGTTGAAAGGAATAGTTCTCTTTAAAATTTAAACATGATTGTTAACAAATGTAGAAAGAGTTTTCACTTTATTTATACAGCACAGATTATTGGGTCCTTACATTATGTAAGGCATAGCGAGGGATGCGCAAAATGTAAATATCGTCTAAGTAACTCAAAGTCCTTTGAGAGGTCAGAAGTGGAAAATAGCCACAAGTAAACTTCACAAGGTAGACGGTATTTGAATGTAGCCTTAAGGACATAAAAGATTGTAGCAGACTTAGGTGAAAAGGAGTGACTTTCAGCTAGCCTGGGATGGTGTGGAAAAATGTTCATAGGTGGCAAAATTACAAGAAGTTTGAGGGGGAGTGTCTAGCTTGGTGGGAGTACAGAGCATCCATAGAAGAGAAAAAGTGTATCAGTTGGTAACACATTGCAAAGGCCACGAATGCCAAGATCAGAGCTTTGGGTTTTTTAAAAAGGGAATGGGGAGTTATTGCAGGTGTTCAGGGCTGATTAAAATAATAATAAGTCACCACTCTGCACCAGGCACACATCGGCCCTGCTACCAGTGAACGCTCACCCAATGAATGAATGCCTAAATGAGTTAGGTTACTATATTTACCATTATGGCGGCTGTAAAGTTAAACAAATTACAGATGATGCCATTAAAGAATTAACGGCACAGTGGAAGGAGGAAACAGGCATCCTATATTCTCATATCCCCACGACACAAGATGGGATTTATGAAACAGACTATGCTAGATGTTTAAAACCACTGCAAGATCTTGGTAACAGCCACTCTTCACTGAGTCCCACTGTGAGGCAGGCCCTATGCTGGGTTCATAACGCCTTATCACGCCTCTTTCCTGCTCAAAACCCTTCAGTGTCTTTCTATTGCTTCTAGTAGAAAAATAAGTCGTTACCTCTGCAGATAAACCCTATGAGACTTGGCCCATATCTCCTCCTCCAAGTTCATCACAGGAACTTTCTTCTCACACCCTACACTCTAGCCATCCCGGCATAGTGACCCTTCAGAACATAACAAGTTCTTTTTTGTATCAGAGACTCTGCATTTCTTACTTTTTTCTGCCAGAAATGCTTTTCCCCAAACTTTTAGAGGACTGGCTTCTTCTCATCCTTCAAGTTTAAATCTAAACTACTACTATTTGTTTAGTTGTTGGTTATCTTCCCCTAAATATGGAAAGTATTTGGCACATAATAGAAACTGATAAATATTTGTGGGATCGATGAATGGATGGATCATCTCACTTTAACTCTTCTAATAACTCAGTCAAGAACCACCTAGCTTAAGGACGAGGAATCAGAGCTCAGAAATATTAAAGTAACTCACCCAGGTCACCAAGGTTGTAAGTGTTAGAGCACAGATTTCAAAATTATCTCAAAGTCTTTGCACTGCCTCCCCCATCTTCCTATGTAAAGAAGCAGAAACTGATTCCAGCTTTTGAGACTTTCAAGGGAGTTGTAGCATTTGATCTGGAACTTTCATGGAGCACTTAAGAGGATGATCAAAGAAATAAAAGTGCGGATGGAGTCTGGGATCACTGAGCAGCTGAAATCGCTAAAGAAAGAAAAGATCTGGGAACAAATAGTGGCCTTTGGATGAGTCTTTTCAAATTAAAATTTTTTTCTTCTTTTCTTCTTCCTAGAATAGTAATATTAAAATCATTTTATATTACTTAGCTCATTTGGTCCTTTAAGATAGATGCTATTACTATTCTCTTTTATACCATGGAAATCAAAGATTAAAGGAAAAGAGAGAATTTGTCTTACTCACATGAATAGCAAGTAAGTAGCTGGGGAGATCTGAGTGTGGAGCTGTCCACCTATATTTTAACTTCAATTCAATAAGCATAAATTTTCATGTATAGTCTTCCTTTCACTAGATTCGAAAATTCTGGCACTGTTACAGTCTCCCTCATTTTGTGAAGAGACATTTTAATTCTATTCAACAAATATTTATTGATTGCCTATTAGATGGCAGATATTCTGCTAAGTGCCAGAAAATAGAATGATGAAAAAAACCTACTATAGCACCTACTTTTGGTGAGCTTTTAATTTTAAGATTCAGCTCTCTTTGGCATTTCATGAATATTTTCAGTTTAAGTTAAACAGCTTGGATAGGAAATTTTCTGCTTCTCAGAATATATCCTGGAACATGTGTAGAGTTGGACAACTATCTCCAAAAGAAGGTTTAGGGCATTTTACATATTTGCAGGTGAATGGTATGTGTTCCAAAATAATAGATCATCTGGAGAAGATTTAAAATATACGGGAGGATATGTATAGGTCATATGCAAATACTATGTCATTTTATATGAGGGACTTTAGCATCTGCAGATTTTGGAATCTGGGGGTCCTGGAACCAGTCCCCCATGGATACCAAGGGGCAACTAGATATGCATGTTCTGTGGGGGTATAGGGATGGGTGAAGAGGGAGGTATTATTTGGTCCATTTTGGCAAACAAAAGGAAATACAGATTAGAATGAAAAGCAACATGGTGGGAGCCAGCCCCCCAAGGCCTAGTTTGGCACACTCTATGTCCCCAGCCCAGGTTTGGTACCCGACTGAGGACCTACACCACTGATCAGTGGCCATCCTGTGGTGGTGGCCCACATACAAAAAGAGGAAGATTGGCAACAGATGTTAGCTCAGGGAAAATCTTCCTCACCAAAAAAAAAAAAAAAAAAATTTACAACATTGTGGGAAACAAAACAGGGAGGTATGGAGAATGGGAATGGATTGCTGGAAGCTAACCTAGAAAATTCTAGTTATTGTTCTGCCTGTGGAAAGCACATTTTAGGTATTAAGGTCAAAGTACTGGGAAAAAAAATAAAGGGTGGGTGGGAAAAGAAATTTAAAATCATAAAATATCTTGTTTGCCTTTTCAATTTGCCATTTTTTTATAATCTCGAAGTAAGGCTTGACCTCTGTTCTCTGTCAATGCCAACCCTGTGAGCCTAGGAAAAATAATTAAACCAAGCATGTGTTCTGCATTCCAGAAAATGAACGCATGACCTTTCCGCTGTTTTGCATCAGATTAACTGTGTTTAAAAAAAATTCAAATAACATGTGTAGCCACCATCTGTATAAACGGTGTACACTTTGATTAAACTAATCTAATGATATGCAAATTTATTTCCACAGATTAACATTGACTTCAGTACCAGAGACCTCATCTCAAAGAATATTGCAGAACCAACTCTCAAATGTTTCGATGAGGCTCAGAAGTTGATCTACAGTCTCATGGCCAAGGATTCCTTTCCTCGATTTCTAAAGTCAGAGATTTATAAGAAACTGGTAAATAGCAAACAGGTTGGAAATCATAAAAAATGGCTCCCTTTCTTGTAAAGAATGTCAATGATAAACTAATAATCAGGTTATAATTTAGGAGAAAACAAGCAAATGGGAGAGATCAACTCTTAATCACATTACTTCAGGGCTAAAATGTTTTAAATATACAAACACGATATTTTTTTTAGAGTTTAGAAAACAGTTTTTTATTCTAACAGAAAAATACTTTTTTATATATGAAGTCTGAATTTCTAAATCATTTGTTTAGAATTTATTCATTTTATCAGGTACTTAAAAATCTTCTACTGGCAGAGTACACGGGGAGTTTATAGAGATACAATGGCCTCTTAAACCACAAGTGGATATTCTTACAATATTATGGATTCAGCGAACCATAGATCTTCATGTTGCTGAATGGGAGCACGTTTAGTGTCATATACATGATTTTAAACACCATTTGCATTATTCAAACCGTCACTTCTGTAAAAAGAGAAATTCTGAACCAAAACATAACCTTCCATCTAGTGTGTTCAACAATTTCTTTTCAGCCAGGATCTGCTACATATTAATGTGGTGGTTATCTAAAATGCTATGGCCCTCAGATTAATTAAAAAGAAAAATTGCAAGAATGCATGCTCATTTAGACATATATGTGTGGCTAATAACACTGTTGAGCAAACTTTGTCAAAATATATCAGTTTAATTCAATGGCTTCACATAGCCATGTGTGGTAAGGGCCTTGAGGGTGGGGAAGATTGATTTTCTTAAATTAATAAGAATATAAAGGCAAGAGGAGGAATGAGAAACATGGATAAGTCCTTATATGATGGACTGTATGACAGTGATTGTCCCATAAAACCAAAAATATTTGCAACATTATCTACCCAAATAAGCGTGGAGTTAAATATCCATTCACTCCTTCAGCACTGAAACTTGTTTATAAAACTCAAAGAAATTTTTAAAATGCATTTATTTTGAGATGCTCCTAAAATTATGTCTTTCCATAAGTAAATGGCCTGTGATAAGTATGAATAATTTCATGTCAATATGAGAAGCTATAAAGATTCAACAGATCTTCCATGATTCCATTTTGTTTGCACAGATTTATTCATCTTTGTTGGTATCTCTACTTTGGAGGTTATTTGAACATTAAAAAATGGAGGAAAAATAACCTGACTTATTCTGTTTCCAAAAACTATTCATTTGATAGACAAAATTTTGTGTCCCCTTTGTCATGAAAAATAAACATTTAAGCACATGTAAATAGTATATTCCCTACACACTTGCAAATTCTTTAAAGGAAGCCATCATACAAACAGAAGTGAAGGTGCACTTACTGGAAAATAGCCATATACTTTTCAGCATTTATTCGGAAGGTTCCAACCTTAATTTAGTCTCTATTTAAATAGGAAATTTTAAAATTATTCCCGCAGATGAAGAACACTTTAAAAGAGAGAAGGAAATTTAGAAATTAAAATCACATTCCTCCTTTTAGATATGAAAAAAACAAGATCTCAGTTATTTCCGAAGTTCACACAGCTGGTAAGCGGCCGAGCTGGTAAGCACCATGCTTTTCCCATGATGCCACACCAGCTCACCGTGAGCGGCCGGGTCGTCTCCTCCCCAGTCAGAAGTGTACTGAGGCCTGGGAATCTAAATTCCTACTAATCCTCAAATATTCAGGCACTGTTCCTTTCACTGAATGTTCAAGTTGTCCTGTTACAGTCAGTTTGCAACTTCCTTCTTGTTATCATAGGGTAAGACTTCACGTCTAATCACGGCCTCTGAAGTATTCTCCAATGATGCACAGGAAGCCCCAAGTCAAACCTTCCCCACCTAGAAGCAGGAGATGACTGTCACTGGCTAAAAATACCGTAGGTGTCAAAGTGATTCGTTGAAAAATTGGATGTTAAATGACCTCAGATAGATCCCAACCAAAGACCCTCAATAGCAATCTTTTCCTCCCGCCTCCTCAACTCACTCCCCACCCCAAACTATAATTATAGGTTTTCCAAATTTATAGGACAGAAAAGAAAACTAAATGCAGGTTTGGGGAATAAAAACAATTTTGGGTTTTGGGAATACTTAGAAGCGAGCATTTTCAGTAAAATATTAGATGTATATCTTTCACCTGTGGCTCTATTTATGTCTCTTTCACTCCATATGGTGCTTTATTTGATCAGTTATCATGGACGAGTGATTTTATGGATGGGATTTTTAAACAAAAAAGATTAACCTGCAGAAAATGAATAACAACATTAACATTCCTGGTGAAGTGTTTAAATATTCAATAATTGTGTAGTGCCATTTTCTAAAAATATTTACATCAGCTTTAAGAAATGAAGTGTTTACATTAAAAACTAAGCTATGCAATAAAACAGCAATAAAATTACAAGATATTGACGTAGATATGACCTTCAAATTATAAGAAGAGTTTTCCCAAGCACGATGTTTTCCATTTTCTGACAGCTCCTACAGAATATATTTTAAAGCAATTTATGTTTGTCCTCCCTAAATCAGACCTAAAGAAATTAAATGACATATTCTTTAACAGTCCAACGTGGAGCTACGATCCATGAATTTATCTAGAATCCTTTTGAACATTTTTGAATATGAAATAGTAATCATTCATCAATAATGAGTACTAATTCCTATGTTTATGCAAATACAGTTTCTTATATTCACCTAGAAAAGATCTATTTCAGCTTCAAAACCTAATAAACAGATTTTTTTTTTTTTTACTAATACTATATTGTAAAAATATAAAACTTTTAGGGCATCACAAACATGAACTAGTGTCAACCTTTATTTTCCCAGACTTTTTTTAATCTATCTACGCACAGAATTCTTTCTACTCACTTCCTTAGTTTACTTATCTCCAGAATTTTTCTAATTTGTGTGATGTGGTAACTATGTGTCTCCATAGTATTCCTGATGCGAGTACATGTTGATATAAAAGAGCACAGAAAAATGCTTTCTGTGTTCTTCCCAATATACTTCCTAATAAAAGTTGCTATCATCTTGGCTTTTAAACAATAGCAGCATCTGCCCATAACTTTGGACAACAGTCTAGATTCCTTCCCTGGAATTTCAAGAAAAGTTCAAATCCATTATTCTGGACTTGAAATTTAGATTGAATTGACCTTCTTTTTGTTTAAGTGCAAGCTGATCAGCTAAACTTCCCAATCATATAGGCAATATCTGATATAAGCAATTAATATGAATCGCTGTTGGAAAACCAAAGGGATCCATTCTTTAAAAAAAAGACAATTCTCTTTAAAAACAAAAACAGTTTGGTCTCAGTATCATTAGTCTTCACATGTTTATTTCCGACATATAATTCTATCTCTAGCCTTCACCCACACGATCCCCATATAACAGTTTCACCGCAATTATATTTAATGTGGCCCTGATTTGCTTGCCAACCGCACAGTCCTGTAATTTATTTCATGGTGACGCCAATTAATTTAAAGTGAACGCTTTTCACAACTATGTGGAAAAGGTGGGATGTTGTCAAAGCAGGGAAGAAAAGAGATTATATGAATAAAGAGTCACTCGCTCTGCGTTTCTCTTATTTTGTCAGATTTTCCATTGCAGTTTAATGGGGAACATCAGGAATGAATATTAAGTGACAATTGTTTACTTTAGCTGTGCCATCTTAGAGGAATTTTATATGTTTTATACAATTACTATTTATAGTGTGTATTTGAATATAAAATAAATATGCATAATTAATTCTAATAATAACTAAACAGATATTGCCATGTTTCCAATTATAACAGAAGGTGGGAAAATAGCATTTTTTTAAATGAACTCATTTCTTTAAGAAACCATATTCTTTTTTCTCCTTATTTTTTTTAAGATCAAGAAACAGGAATGGATGTCCAGTAGAAGGAAAAAAACAATGAAATTTAATCAGGTTTTTGTTTAGCCGTTGAAAATTTATGCTTCGTGCTATATCTAGGTTAAAGTCAGCTACAAATATTTTTGAGAAAAGAAACTGTCTTGTTCATTTCATGTTTTTTTCTTGGGTGCTGACTGTTTAACTATTCCTGTATATTTCACATAAAACATCATCTCATTGACATATTTTTACAAATAAGAATTTTGAGTCACCTAATTTCTTACAAATACGGTGTGGTTTCCTTTTTCTGATACTTTTATCCCTTTTGTGCACTTAGGAAAATAAGTTGTAATATTTGGATCATTAATTTTGTGAATGGTTTTGTCTTAGATATACAAAATAATGAATATCTGGCTCTTTTCAAAAGCTGATAAGAAGAAAAAAGATAAATGCTTCATAATGTGGGTGTATTAAATATTCTTGCATTTATTTCACATGGATTTTAATGAAGATGTCGTATTTTTAAACTATCAGTTTAGGCCTTTAAGTACATATTTTTGTGCATGATGCCTTTGAATTATGGTTTTGTCCTCCTTTCCAAATATGTCATGTTTACCACAAAGATATAATCACGAATTTGAAATCATAAGGCTGGTTTTCCTTACTTCTTATAATCAGAAAAAATGGGAAATTCCTATTACTTAGTAGGAAAATGGATTTTAAAATTAATCATTCACTGCAGTGTTTGTTTAATATCTGAATATAAATCTTTTATGGGATCATACCAAAATCCATTATTAAAAACCAAGAACACTTCAAGGGAGATTTAAATGTTGAATTTATGATTGATCTCCTAAAAATTTGCTTTTAAAGTATTGTTTATTGTCCAACAATTCTATAGATTATTTTACAGGATTTTCTTTTTGCTAGAAGAGATCTTTTAAAACGAGTAAATAAACCCCTAATATTAGAAGGTTAAAGATTGATCGGAAACTTCAAACTGAGCCCTACGTGTTTTAAGCCAGATAAAAGCCATTTTCCCAAACATAGCTTTTATATTAAGTGGTAGAAGCCAGTGGAGAGGAAACAGTATCATTACCTAGGGGCTTTAAGGAAATTTAGAACTTTATTGAGAAATCTAAGTTTACCTGTATAAATGAACTCATACATATATTCACATAAGGATCTCTGTTTCTGTTGAAGTTTCCATCTT